TATAGTAAGCAAGTTTCATTTCCGCAATGGATAATATTTTTAACCTTATATATATATTGCTCTCCCATCGCAGTTTTCCCCGCCGGATGCAACAATATCCAATTACGCAGCTCAATCTGCAATCTCATTATGGGAGCACAGAGTATTTCGTGCAATCTAGTTCTTTTAAGCAGTATGTTTGCAGGAAAGGCAGAAAGAGAGCGCGAGAGAGAGAGCGAGAGAGAGAGAGGAGAGAGAGAGAGCGAGCGCGAAAGAGAGAGAGCGAGCAAGAGATATAACGAGAGAGCGAGGGTGAGAGCGCGTAGCCTCATCTACCCCACACACACACACACTCTTACCCTGACTACACATCACAGCATCGGAGCTCATCTGGTTTCATCGTCGCAAATCTAGTCGACAATTCTATAATCCTTGTAGTCGACAGAACGTCAAAGAGATAAAACGCCAAAAAGCGACTAAAAAAAATAAATAAAGCGGTGGGAAATGGATGCGAGATGAGAGAGATGAGAGCAGGAGCGTAATCTCTGCTGGTGGGGGTGGGGGGGGCATCGGTTCACTAATGGGCTGTACTGTGTGTGTGCGTGACTGTGTGTGCGTGTGTGCGTGTGTGTGTGTGTGTGTGTGTGTGTGTGTGTGTGTGCGTGCGGGCGCGCGTGTCTGTGTGCACTCGTACGGCATATTTTTTAGAATTCCCACACTGACTCCACTCCAGGCACTATCAAATCTTTAAATAAATATTTGAACTCCATTCATATCACCAGGGATGCATGAATAGAGAGAGAGAGATAATAATAATCTCAATTCACGAATTCCTGATCAGATGCCATGTCAATAACGATGAGCAGACGACATTAGCACACGTGTACTTACGTTCCTATCTAAATATATCAGGAGTCTATCAATATTGATAGACTCCTGAATATATGATATTATACATGATATTATATGGTCTTATAAGCTTGAACTGCGTCAGACGTAAAATGTGAGACGTGCGATTTTGGTGTTTAACTTGTGGCGAGAATTTTGCCTTTACACTCGTAATTGTGAAATATCCAAAATACCATTTTAACATAAAAAGAAAAAATGTGTGTTGTCACATATTTAGGTTATGAAAATTTAATGAATTTCTTTTTGGCTTGATTATACATCTCATCTATAAATAAAACGTGTGATTGATTCGATTCATTTGTCAATAAACGTTTACAAAAACAAATACTCTTCATTAGAGTAATACTGAGCTAATAATGGCTTGAGTGTATCCTTAAAACCAGACGAATTGTTCTCTCTCGCAGCGTCACACACGAACACACACGACGTTCAAACAGGAACACACGCGACGTTCACACACGACGTTCAAACAGGAACACACCCGACGTTAACACGCGAATACACGCGACGTTCACACGCGAACACACGCGACGTTCACACACGAACACACGGGACGTTCACACACGAACGCACGCGACATTCACACACGAACACATGCGACGTTCACACACGAACACACGCGACGTTCACACGCGAACACACGCGGCGCACACACGCGAACAGAAACGCACATCGAAACGCGAAAACACATCGAACTATCGACTCAATATTCCAACAAAATTTATTTACCAAAAAAACAAAAAAACATGGGCATATAAACGTAATATGCACGTATATCATGATACAAAATATCCTGCCTCCGCCCCACTGCGCAGGCGCACAGGTAGCCGGGCGGGGCGGCCCCACAGGACACCGCCACCACCACCGCCAGTGCTTGCTACATCGAGAAATGATTATCTATCGCTAATTAACCTCTTCATTAACCTCTTATTATTAATCAAATGCTAACGACAGAAGTGGAAACCCCCATACAGCGCCCCCTGTCGTCGAATCAACGCACCTCGGATCTCGTTCCGGATTTCGGATGGCGAAAATATTTCCGGACGCGTTCCTAGGCGCACCCTATCACGAGTGACACGAACGCGGATAAAATATATATAAACTCAGAGTAAAATATATTCTACTGTCGAGCGGGAAAACGTAAATGAAATTTATTACCGGTGATTTTTTTTTCGCGCGTGCAAAATTAAATGTTTTCATCGTTTTAACAATTATTATCGTCACTTATCGAACTTGTTGCAGCGTTTGACTCTATTTATCATCGGTGCTTCATCCTATTTTCATTTATAATCTGTCTGTTGTGCGGATTGGCTCCTATTTTACCTCTTGCTTTCCTCCCCTCCTTTTTTTCCTGCTTGTATATTGATTTAAAGCACAATTACCATTGTAATTATTCACAATTAACGGACTCTCTCTCTCTCTCCCTCATACCTACCAGCCCGTTGAACCGACGGGTAGTAGATTGTATTGCTTTGAGCGAGCGAGGCACGCAGCCCGTGATATGCACGTGTAAAACATCACATTGTCGCTCGTTGCGACGGATCCCCGCAAAACATATAAAGCGGCCCGTACACGCACAATATCATTGCCAATAATATTGATGCAATATTATTGACAAGAAATTCTGTTGGCCACCAACGGCACAATAATATTGTGCAACATCGTCATTTGTGCTCTGATGCTGAAGGTGAACAGACGGATCTGCACAATGAGACAATGAGTGGACAATGAGAACCTTCAATAAATATCTATTGGGTTTTGATTCCGTCAGAATATTGTGCAAGTCAAAATTTTCCTCCAATAGAGCACACTAACGATCAATAATATTGTCAATATTCATTATTGACAATATTATTATCAATAATATTGTGCGTGTATGGGCCGCTTTATATCTTATCATCAGGGGAGAATAATAATAGAAGATCTCTATTATTATTCTCCCCTATTATTATCTTATCTATGTGTGGGGCGGCAGACGAGCTGCGACAGTGGCGCCGCCGCGTGGCCAGTCGCGAAACAACCACGGAAGACCTAGGATCTCAGCTATCTCCAGAATCACGTGTCTCCTATTCTCGGTATACGTGACGTCACCTGTCAAAATTGTGACGTCACCCGTCAAAACTGTGACGTCACCTGCCAGGAGCGTGACGTCAACTGCAGAGATATCGCGTGCAATCCAATATGGATAAAATGAGCAAGAACGAGGCAGAGAGCGCGCAGGGAAGGTGGGTGGTGGTGGGGGTGCGGGTGGGGGTGACTTAATCACAGTTAATCACTGCGCATGCGCGAGAAGTAGCGTAGATGCGCCGGCAACCATACAGCGCAACAACACTTCCGGTGCGTGCGTGCGTGCGTGCGTGCAGGCAGATAATGGAAGCAGACGATAAACAATGGAAGCGATTGCATCCGTTTGTGGAAGCACGAACCCGTGGCGCCCTCACACGAGAGAAGCGACAATTTCTACTAGATAGCGATGAGATAACTAGTCGATATGACTTACGCTCATTTTAGGGATGGGGTAATTAAATAATTATATTAATTAATAAAATTAATTAACTATCAATCACTAGGTGACAGAATAGAATGATTATGATTATTAGCTAATTAATACACGTTAATTAGAATCATGTAGATGGCTCGCCTGTAGGCCGGTTGCCCTGGCAACTACGTCACGCTACCAAACAAACACCGGTTCTCGCGCGTTAGTAGTGCGAAAATCTCTCACCGGGGGGCGCTCGTCACGCCATCGCGTCGACGAATGCCAATTTGAACTCTATGGGAAAATTGAGACAAAAACTTATTATTATTATTATTACTATTAATAATCTTAAAAAAACTTCTGAATAGATAGTCGTGGGGTGTCTCTCCTCTCTCCTACATACCACCGTTCACCCAACCACCTACCCTCTCTCCCCTCTACTGCGCACGCACACAAATTCATGGGCACTTTTGTGTAAAGGCAGAAGCGGGACGAGCGACTGCACATGCGTGACGGCGTGTTGTTTTCCTGCTGCGGTCATATAAAGATAATAATTCTAATAATAATAACTATTAAAAAGCGGCAGGGCTCATCAACTATCACCATCGTCATCATCATCATAGTCATAAGTTAAAAGGTCATTGACTCATCATAATCTCTCGATCACCCCATCCATGACCCTCTATTGATCAGTCTATCGATTACCCTCTATTGAACACCAACCCACTGACAGTGATTATAAAAAAAAACACCTTATGCCTGAGAACCGAGGCATGTGGCAAAGAGAGAGAGATATAAGATGAAAGGTGAAAATATGCGAGATAATATTATCTGTAATTTGAGACGTATCTCGCTTGCTGCTACCGCTCCAACGTACCCGCCCGCACACACACACACCTGCAGCGGAACCCTGACCCTCTCTACCCCGCACGATGACGGAACATGCAGACCAAGTCGTTGTTCGCGCAGATCATGTCGTTGTTTACGCTGTTTATGTCATTGTTTACGTGGTTCATGTAATTGTTTACGTGGTTCATGTTGTTGTACATGCTGTCCATGTCACTGTTCACGTGGTTCATGCCATTGTTCATGCTGTTCGTGTCATTCTTCACATGGTTCATGCCATTGTTCATGCTGTTCATGTCATTCTTCACATGGTTCATGCCATTGTTCTTGCTGTTCATGTCACTGTTTACGTCGTTCACAATGAGTCATCGTTCTTCCGTGCGTCATTGTCATCTGCATCGCTGCGTTTTACCTGCCAGCGCTTCGCTCTCCCCCTCCCCCCCCGTCGCTCTCTCTACTCCCATTGCCGCACGCATGCACGCGCACACGCACACACGCGCACGCACGCACTCAGAGCCGGCAGGCAAGGATTCCTTCCCGCCCCCGCCTCCTCCGCCGCAATGCACGCGCGCGTGCGCGAGAGAGAGAAGTGAGCCGGCCCCCCGTGTCGCGCGCCGCGCCGCTATATACAGATCAAAACTAATATACAAAAATAATCACAGCACCCATATTATGCATCCGCTCACGCCGTCGTCGTCGTCGTCGTCGTCGTCGGATCTCTGTCACTTCCGCGGACGTCGCATGCGTGAAACGAAAAACCCACGATGCGCGAAGCGACCGCCTTTCTTTGCAGGTCCGCCGCCGCCGCGACCTCTAGGTCACGGCACGCGGAATCGTCCGAGCGGAGACGGCCAACGCAGGGCGCCGCGTGTCCACTCTCGCCCGCACGTGACGAGCGTCGATGCATCCCAAGGTCATCTCACCCGACCTCTGCGCGACCTCCGCGTGATCTTTACACGCGGGCACGGAACAATGGCCGGCGACGCCACATGGGGGCGCTGCCGATGCCGCGAGGAGGCGCCACCGCCGTGTCTACGAGGGCAGCTCGTGGAGGGCGCTGTACGATGCGCGGCGCGGCATCAGGCACGCTTCGCTGAGCAGCGTGAACTGCGTCACGTGCGCGTCCCCGTCGCCGCCGCGAGGGGGCGCCACCGCCACCGCCGGGTCGTCGTCGTCGTCGTCGTCGTCGACGTCTGCCGAAGTGTCGGCGGTCGCCGCCGACGACGACGCGAACGCTCGCGACGACGACGTCTCCAGGAGAAGCGCGCGCGATCCGCGCAGGCTGCACGGCGGGGAAGCCACGACGAAACCCCCGTCGTCCCCGCCTCCTCCTCCTCCTCCGCCGCCGCCGGCCGCCGCCGCAGCCTCCTCCGCCGCGTCGCGGATCTCGTCGAGCTGCCGCGCGGAGAATCGCGGCGTGTCGACCGCGATCGCGTTGTGGAAGCGCGAGTAGTCGATGCGGTACAGCCCGTCCTCGCGCTGGAATGTGACGAGGCGCTGGAAGCGCCGCCCCCACAGGATCTCGCCGTTCAGGTACGACGAGCGCGCCTGCGTCGTCATGCCCGTCGTCTCGATGACGCCCTCCAGGATGACGACCATCTCGAACTTCTGCGCGACGAAGTCGTCGGCGTCCATGTCGTAGAACGGCGACGTGGCGTCGATGCGGTGGCAGATCGTCACGGGCCAGATCATGAAGATGCGATCGGTGCCCGCGTCGAAGCCGACGTTGAGGTCGTAGCGGTGGAGAGGCAGCGTTTCTCCCTCGAGCGTCATCTTCTTCTTGATGACGAGCGCGCGCACGTGCGCCTCGATGATCTGCGAGCGGCGCATGTCGCCGACGCGGAACAGCATGCACAGCTGTCCGTCGCGCATGCACACGACGGCGGTCTTGCTGAACATCAGCGTCTGCGCGCGCTTCTTCGGCCGCGAGATCTTCGAGAACACCATGCCGACGACGAAGCACTGGATGAGCACGCCGACGATCGACTGCACGACGAGCGTGAGGATCGCCTCGGGGCACTCCTCGGTGATGTGCCGCGAGCCGTAGCCGATCGTGTGCTGCGTCTCGAGCGAGAAGAGGAACGACGACGCGAACGACGTCTGCTCGCGAACGCACGGCGTCCACGCGGCGTCGCCGGCGTTCGCCGCGTCCAGGTCGCCGTGCGCGTACGAGATCAGAAACCAGACGACGGCGAACGACGTCCAGCTGACGAGGAAGCCCGTCGCGAACACGGCGATCGTCCACCGCCATTTCAGGTCGACGAGCGTCGTGAAGACGTCGGCGATGTACTGACGCTTGCGATTGTCGACGTTCGCCAGCGAGATGTTCAGCCCGCCGTTCTTCTGAACGATCCGCCGCCGCTGCACGCGCTCCCGCTTGCCGCCTCCGTACCTGCTCATCCCACGTGGCAGTCGCCGCGGCGACGGCGACGACGACGGGGGGAAGGGTTCCGCGGCGGGGGGCGGGGCCGGCGGCGGCAGAGGAAGCGGTGCCTCGTTAATGTCTTCGTCGCTCGTTATCGTTACCTCCGGCACGCTCAGGAAGCCGTTGTTGTCGACGATGCGGCGCTTCGTCGCCGCGGTAACCGACGCGCTGCGTCCCTCGGCGAGCCGCGAGCCCGCCATCTGGTGGTGGTGATGGTGGTGCCCCCCGGTGAAGTCGCCAAGCAGGCGTCCGGCGCCGCCGCCACCAGGTCGCGCCGGCACGGGGACAGCGTCGAGCGAGTATGCGCGCGTCATCGGGCCGAGCGGCGTGCGCTGACAAGAGAACTTCTCGTCGCGCTCCTCCGCGTACCTAAAACACAAGAGCAGCGCGTGAGACAATGGTGGTGGCGGCGAAGTAACAAGCGAACGTCGAAAATAGGGATAAAATGTCGAATGTAGGGATAAACTTTTATTCTACTGTTACGAAACAGAAAGACAAGACAAGGAGAGGAAGACAAAACGGTGACAATATGACAAAACACAGACAGAAATGACGAGACAAAGACAGTTAGACAAGACAAACACAGGAAGTCAAGACATACACAGGAAGACAAAACAACACAGAAAGGAACAGGTCAGGAACCCAAAACGGAGACACAGGAGATGAACAAAGCAAATACAGCACAAGAAACAGAGAAGAGTACAGACAGAGAAACGTGGAAAAAAACACGAGCAAACCAAAGCCAACTGCCCTCGCGTATCCGACACAAACGTTGTTTCAGGAAAAATCCACAACGTCCACACCGAGAGGTTACAACCACACATTAGGAGACAGTGGTGGTCAGAACAGGAGCGCCGTGATC